AGGGAAAAAGCTGGACTGGTACATCCTTAGTAGCCTCAGGTTTTTAATGTCAACATAGATGCATTCTCATATGCGTGACAGTGTATCAGGCTATACTATGGAGTAATGCAAAAATAACGCACTGCTTTTTAAAACAGTAACTAATAGTTTGTAACATATTCTGGTCTCTATGTAATGACACAAACACTAGTGAGTAATTGTGGTGTGCTGAGACTGAGAGGACAATCAGCTATATAAAATTTAAACACACTGTTTTTGTATGAGGTTAGGCAGGAAGAGTCTCTGTGGACTACGTTTGCAAATGACATCATGTTTGATTAGTTTAAATTTCTAGAATCAACCATGCAAAGCAACAAACAGTTCACAACAGAGGTGAAGAAGAGAGTGCAGGCAGGGTTGAGTGGATGGAGACAAGTGGCAGGGTGATTTGTGACAGAAGGATAGCAACAAGAATTTAAGAGACTGTAGTGAGACCTGCTCTGATCTACGGTTTGGAGACAGTGGCACTGACAGTAAGACAAAGCGGGACTGCAGGTCACAGAGCTGAAGTTGCTCAGATTTGTTTTTGGAGTGACCAGGATGGATATGATTAGAACTGAATACATCATTGGGCCAGGTCAGGTTGAGCAGTGTGGATGCAAACTTTGAGAGTTTGTGTGAAAGAGGATGATAGGGTGGGATAGGGTGAGATGGAGGCAGATGATTCGACCAATAACAAGAGCAGCTGAAACAGGAAGAAACTAACCTGCACTTGAAGCTGCTGTTCAGAACCTTGATGCAGCTGGGGTGACATCTCTGTTGAGGTCACCTGTACCTGTTATAAAACATGTACATGTAATTGCAAACCACCAAACAACATAATTCAACACCCAATATAAAGTGTCTTACTGGACAGGCCAGCTCCAGGAGAGATCCTGCCACCTCCGTGCTGTCTGTGTAAATACAGTTGGCACCCTGCTGATGGTACACCATGGCTGTACTGGTGGCTGCCCCTTCCTGCTGGCTGAACTCCTGCAGCACCTCTGGGCCCTTGGCAAGAGACTCCAGGAACTCCTTCATCCTGTGCTGAGGCACAGTGCGGGCCTTTTGCCGCACATATTCGTCAAAGGAGACCACCCCACTCTCCTGCTCGTTCATCGTCACTGGACCTGGAAAGGAGATTTTTCTTTTACACTTCTAAGAGCACAGTTATATCCATTACATCCTAAACAAGCTGCATTTGCAATGTTCATGTAAAATGATGAGAGACGGCTTTTCTCTCTTACATACAACTACAATGATGCAGTTTAAATGTTTGTCAGTAAGGTTGGGAACGTTAGGGTTGCTATATTAAATGCATTTGGCTTGGAGCTAATACAATGACTGTGCTTTGCTTAAATCAACTTTTCCTACAATTAAGAAACACTGCAATCACAGATTAGCTGAAAGGTAAACCTAAATGTTTACTATGAGCGATTAACTGGGTTTAATAGCAATGAAGTAATGAAGCAACGCACCAACAATGGTGCCTGGTTTCATTATATTGACAGTTTATGTGACAGCTAGTTGTTAGCATGCTAGCTTAACAATGTTAGCTAGGCGCTGTTTTGCCACAACCCATATGGATAGTTCACTGAGTAGCAACCGCCGACTGCATTCTACGCTGTTGAATACCAATATAATTTATGCCGTAACTTATACAACACGGCTATAGTTTTACTCATAATAGAGGCTATCGAACTGTATTTAACACAGCAACACCTCGCTGGCTAACCACTGTGCTAACGTTAGCTAGCGAGCTAGCTCGGCTGCTCTGGATCCTGTCATGCTACCTTAAATAAAATGAAATCCTCTTGTTTCCGCCAAGGCACGGTGTTTAAAACCAAAAAGCCGATAAACGTCTAACAGCTACCACCAGCATACCATTTACTTGGCTACATAGCACATTTTAGCAGCTGTGCAATCCCGCAAAACAATGCCGTGATTACACGGAGATAAAATTTAACCATTGGCCGATTCTCTGACGTCTGCTTATTTCACGCTGAGCTCCGGGTTGTGTTAAAAGTTTACCACTTCCAGCAAAGCGCAGGTTTAGTTATGCGGCGAAATCCCACGTCGTATGTCCAAAAAAACACCACTCAGCGACACACGCACAAAACCCCACACACTGTTTACCAAGTGAGACATAAAATGACGGAAGTATAGGCCCCGAAAACAACGCGGCTGCTCTCCACACTGCTCTGCCAACCAACGGGCTGATAACTGCAGCTCCCATCCCGGTAGCAAGAGCAGCACTGTTATGAAAACTTACATGACATTTGGACGAGAAGTGCAACCACATTTGTGTAGTTAAAGGTAGGGCATGTCTCATCTGTAACGGTGGGTCAACCGTAGTCTGGCAGTGCAAGATAATCACAGTCTCTCAGATTAAAACAGGGTCATTTGCATTGAAATGATAGAACCTATATACACAGATACCCAGTTTGAATGATCGCAATAAATAGACAGCCTTTTACAATACCACTCCTTTCATTGAAGATTAATTTAAAAATCAGACAAAATAATGACTGATAATTGTCATACTATTAGATATCTGTTCTAATATTACAGAAAAGTATCTGTATAGTTTTAAATTAGATAGATATTGGCCACATTATGTGGTTAATTGGCCTTGGTTATTTATTTTAATTTTAAAATATTTTAGTAGGGATTCCTTACTTAAATTATTATTTTCGGTCAAACTGTTTTTATGTTACGATATCTCTGTTTTTGATTATTAATCATTTTATTTTATTATTAACTGTTTAATTTATTTCCTCTGACTCTGGAAATCAAGATACGTGACTTTAAATGAACACAAACATTTTCTTCCAGGATGGTTCTCCTGAAGCTTGGTAAACATGAATGCATGTGCCTTTAACTTGTTCTAACTTCCCCAGTCTGCCTTAAAGAGCCAGGCATGTGCTACTGAGGGCCTCCCCCTGTTCCCTCCACAACAAACTGCCTCTTGCCCTTCTTAAGGTGGACCTAGACAGATGCGCTGTGTGCATAGGCTGTGTCCTCTACACACTGGATTGGAAAGAGTTAATTCCCACACTCGCTGCAGACTATCTCTGACTCTACAAGGGCTCTCTTATGGCAGCGTTTATGCAGTATGTGTACATTTTTCTTTAACTGCTTAACATCTTCCAGGGTGTTGGCAACACATCTAGGGTTAAGGATAGGTTCTTGTTAAATGTCCACCCCTGTTTATAGACTTTAAAACACCCAAATTCTGAGTCTATTATAATTAACCCCTTGAGGTCTCTCATCACAAGCAATGATCCTAGAAGATGTAATTTAAAAAGAAAATGTCCAAATTCTTTGCAGTAAGGGGACAAAATAATTTTAACATATGGAACAGAACTACTTTTTCCAGTATAATATATACTGGCTTTTCTCCAAAATGCAGGGTTACATTTATGGTTTGAAGCTAAATTGGGGCTGTCAGCAAAGATGACTTGGAACTAAGAGGGTTCATGGAAAAAACGAAAGTCATAATGCGGTGAATCTTCATTTGAAATGTAACATCTTCTAGTTTCTGAAAATCTGCCTGTTTAGCAAAATCTAGCCCGAACACTATCACCATGGTGGACGTTAAGAGGAAAGAAAGCTGATCCATTATTGATAGAGAAAAGACCACAGGATTCATCTGAGTGGTGACTAACACTCTCCTAATTTGATCATAAAGCGTAAGTCTTTCACATGCACACTCTGGAAAAATAATAAGCTAGTAAGTTGGCATGAAACAGCTTACTTGGCTCGTGACTTACTGGCTTATCACTGCAGGTGACTTTATGCCACTGTAAGAATCTTAATGTAATCCTTTTGAGAAGGATTTACCTTTAAACAGCTGCCATTAAAACAAAACAGAAGGCTTGTAGGTTGTTATTAACAGTCGGTCATTTACAACTTTGATTTTCATTTTAAAATCCTTCATTTATGAACACTGCAAACAGTAAACAGGAATTATTTATTCAACCTTTTTTCTCCAGAAATGGGCCATGGTAATCAGGTCTTTGTTTTACTAGCGACATAGTGATGGAAAGTTGCCAAGTAACCAGCAGGTGCAATAAGCCGTTAGTTAGTTGTGAGCGCGCCAGTCAGTATGTTCAAGGCTCACTGTGATGCACCTTGTGTATCACCTCAGAAATCAGGCTTTACACATACTTTTACCAGAGATGCAGCACAACCCGTGATGCACTAAAAAGAAAGCAGAAAATAAGACTTGATCGCAGGTAAGTCAATGAGTTAGACTGATTTGACAGCTGAATGATGTGTTGTCATGTGTGTTTTATACTTGTGTTTGCCTGAATCATAACTGAACTATGAAGGGGTAAAATATTTCAGTTTTTCAGAGTTTTTCTGGATTCACAGCATTTTCTAGTCTTTCTAATTGCATTTAGATACCTATTGTTTACACTGCCTGATTTATTACTGAAATGGCTACTTTATATTTTTGGTTCGACTGACTCATATTGTGAACAGTTTTTCCAAAGTTGTGTTGTAATTTTGCTGATTCAAATGTGCATTTATTGTAGAGGGTGCACATCCTCCAGATTACAAGTAGAAAATATTGTCATTTAGAACTGAAACATAAGAGTTCGTCTGTGTGAATCTAAATATATTTAATAATCATTTACCTCCCCATTATGGCTGTGAAGAAAGTGTTTCAGTGTTTATTTCAAGGTAAAATCAAGTTTTAGCCATCTTGACATCAATAAATATTTTTAGTACATATGTTTGTGTTTACCAAAGCAGTTTTTGATTATTTAGTTGCTGTGAAAGTGTGGCAACAAAAGAGGAACTTTTTATTAAAAGAGGCTTTTTATTATCTTGGTTGGCTGAAGTTTTGCGTTAGCTTCAGAAAAACTGTAAAGCATATTTTTAGACTGTTAATTTTAGTGCTAGGGACATTAGGAACCTGAATGCATGGAAACGTGTTTCAGTGCTTTCGCTCTGTCTTCTCTACAGATCTTGGCTGTCAAAAATGGGGCGTCTGCTCTTTGTGACACTAACCGTGTCCCTCTCTTCACTTGGAAGCCTTATTCAGTCTTCGCATTCACCATCCAACTCTGGCTCAGTCCAAACAACTCAAAGTGGAGCCAGAAACAACAGCAGCCTGGACAGCTTGGCCAGGGAAGTAATCTTTCAATCAGAAAGCCCTGTAGAAGGCAGCCGGTATAGTGTTGGCAGCATGGAGTTGCAGCAACTCATCAATCAGGCTGTCACTCCATTGAGCAAAGAAACCCACTCTGGGTCTGGAATCATAGTGGGGACAGAACCCAGCCTGCACCACTCAGGGCCTCTGGACCAAAGAGCTGACAAAGCTAATACTTCAATTACAGGAAACACTCACCCCAGTGCACCCGTAATCTCAGAGGGAGCTCTGCTGGAAGGCGGCCACATAACAGCAGAGCGCTTACAAGAGAGTCATACCTCTGCTGTGAAACACAACTTCCCAACTCGTAAGTAAAGCTGTGATATGGAAGTGAAGTAGCGCACATAGTGCATTACTTGACGTTTTTCTTTAACTGCATCAAATTGTCAGGTGGTCACAGTGAGATCTAGTATAAAATTATATCCTTCTTTTCACATTTTTGTATGAAAAATCAAATTTAAATCTATTTAAAAATCAAATTTAAATCTATTTAAAAAGCAAATAAAGTAAAAGTGATTGATATTGGATCTTTTGGTTCGATGTAGCTGTCTGTGACACTGCATGCTGTGCAACTATGCTGGTAATCGGGCTAACAGTATGTAAAAATTCACCATGAAATTATTTTTAATTAAAAATATAAAATCTTCTCTTTCTTTCAGGTGGAGACCGCCCTAAACTTCCTTTCCATACCAGTGCGTTTACTTCCATGATAAATTATAAACCTTCAGAACCTGGAGGCCCCTGCGTGCTGGGTGTTGGGCCGTGTATTGTTCTTAAAAACTTTAATGGCACCAGTCTGCTCTGGGACGACATGAGGCGCACACTGGCGTTTGCCTGGGAATTGCACGTCTTTGGGTCTGCCAGCCTTTTCTTGCTGATGGCTTGCCTGGCAGTTGTGGGGACGGCTGGAGCATGTACGCTTCCTCGGCCCCTCTGTTACACCCTGATCCTGGCAAATAGCTTCCTAATCATGGGTGGTTCTTTGCGTACCATCCTCCTCATACTTGACCCCTATGGTACCCGTCAGATTCTGTCTCATGCCACTCTGGCAGCGCTACATAATGTTCCTCTGCAGCTTCTTCTGTGGGCGCAGCTTGCTCTCGCTCTGGTTACACTGAAAGGGTTAAATTTATTACTTTTCCCACTAAAGCTGCAGCACCCATGGGTGGTTGGAGGGTTTGGTATATTTCATTGCTCTGCATTATTTGTAGCCGATCTATACTCTTTAACTTTAACCCCTGCTGTCCCTCTTTTGCTACAGACCCTTTCCCTCTGCTGGGGCCTCCCATTTTGCTTGGGGATCCTCACAAAGGCCCTTTCCAATCTGCAACCCTTTCTCAGGTCCTCTTTACCACAGTGGGCTCCTTCACAGAGGCCCGAGAGGCGCGGAAAGCGAGTCATAGCAGGGTGCGCTTTCCTTGGGGTGCTATGCTGCAGCCTTCAGATGTATAGTCTCTTCTGGCTTTATGGGCTACTGGGAAACTGGAGGCGCTTTGGCTGGGGCTGGTGGCTGAGTCAGTTCTGGGCGAGACTCCTTGAGTTAGCCTGGGGATTCTCTTTGCTTGTCCTGGGATCTTGGATCTTCTGGACTCCATCTAAGGGTCACACAAGGGGTGATCATGTGCAGAGCAGAGTGGAGGCATTCAAAAGAATGGAGGATAAAAGCTTTTGGGATAGGGTGTTAGCCACTGTGTGGAAAGTCCCACTAAAAAAATCAGATAAAAGCTGGGAAGACCTGATGCCAAATAACTGGTCCAAATATAACCTGTCAAAAGCAGGTATCAGCAACAACATAATGTCCCCATATGATGATCGAACATCCACCCAAATATCAGAGCACAAGTCTGATCCTGGTAGTAGCAGCTCGGACTCTCAGGCAGCATTGCTGTGGCAAAAAGTTGGTGAACGTGAGTGTATTCTTTCACTTATAGAGTTTGACATGCGGCCCCCATCTCCTATTAACCTCAGGCGCAGCATTGACAATGCTTTTCACCACGGACAGCTTGTAGCAGGGAGTCTGTTCACACCTCCGCCTCCCTCATGGACAATGGGCACCAATGATGAAGACGGTGGTCTAAAACCCTTCCCTCCAGCTTTTATCAGCTACGGCTGGATGGACACAGAGTCCATTTCGGCATCTCTAGACCATTTCCAGGCCAAAGAACCAGTACACTCACCCAGTGCTGCATCTGAAAATAATGGCAGCAGTGAGTCTCCAGCTGCTGCATACATGAGAGAGGAATTCTCTGCAGTGATGCATCAGCATTACTGGTCAGATGACGATGTCACAGACCTCTAAGGACATAAACTTCTTTTACATAAACTATCATATTTCTTTTAGTAAAAACTGTTTACTATGGGTGGGTTTAATAATGCAAAAATACAGTCAGTATGACCTGAAATTTGTCACTTTTTATATGATCTTTATGTTTTTGAGAAGATGATGGTACTTTCACTTAAATAAATCTGTTGAGTCAGATTTTTTTCTCCTAGTGAATAATATGAGTATTTAATAATAATAAAGGTCTAATATGTTTTGTTCTATCAGTGTTATTTGTGTATGTAGGACAGATGACCTTTAATTCAGCAAGTTACCATCTCTTATCTGTTGACATCTGATTAGTGTACCAACAGCGACTGGATGTTTTTACTGTCTTGTTTGTAAATCAATTTGAATTTATATGAATAATATGATCAACAATAAATTTAGAAATTGAAAGAATAAATTTTGTGCTAACAATGTTTTACATCATACCAAATTTACATTTATTGATTTTGCCTGAAATATGTGTGTGTGTGTGTGTGTGTGTGTTTGTGTTCAAATCATAATAATGGCAGTCAGCATGGAGGTGTAAGGATGTAATCTTTTAGTAGATGTTTAGATCACTGAAAACTGGTTTACGTAAAGCTGAAAAACCGAGAAACAGAAGATTTTCAGAAGAGGTGAAAAAAAGAATAGAATTTAAACATTCGATTTTAGACATGGGTGTGGGTAATTACCCCGAACAAAAGGGAATTAATTAAACTTAGTAGCATTTAGTTGTGTTATTATTCAGCTTGAATTGTTTGATATAACTACCAGTGTTAGAAAAAAAAGTGGAAAATAAAAGATGTCTTTAACAGGCTACGCTGTGACAGGAGAATCTATTGGGAAGAACTCAAAATTTTCAAAAAGTCATAAATTGACAAGAATGCTGAATTTGGAACTTTTTTAAACCTACATTTTGTTTTTTTGTTAATCGCAAACTTGATGGTTATTTTTCCCATAAATATTTGAATCTTCTTATTTCTACTTTCAGTAGCCCTAATGCATACGTTGTAATGTCGTATTTCTCAGCGGTGCGCAAACACAAAAAACAGGATAACAGAGCTGATTAGTCCAGTACATGCTTATCATACACAACAAAGACTTCTCCCGCTACAGGTTGACATGGCAATGAATGATTGGTCAACAGTTTGAAAAGGGGGTGGTTCTGGAGATTACCTTTGAAATCATTTTACAAAAGCACTGTTATATAATAATTAAAGGTGTGATGCCTTGCCTCCATTTGCCGTATGTTGCAGTGACAGTTTCTCAATCATTTTTTGGGATGATTTGTGATGATGGTGATGATGCAGTGGGTGCTGTGCAAACACCTGCAGCAGTGTGATTGATGTTTAGCCTAAAACTTTGCTGACATTCAAATGTGACCATCTGAGTGACTTAAATTGGTAAGTTTCAATAACCTAAATACCAACTTACATCTGTCTTATTAAAGGTTATGTTCATGAAAATAATCTTAGTCTGGTGTGTCCGGCGACTCACTGTTTACTTTTAAACAAAAGATTTGTTAATGATTAATTTTAAAATGTAAATTATTCATTTGGAATAGATCATAAAAACCCAGCAGACCACATCAATAAAATCAAAAAGTCTGAATATATTTAATATTCTAATTATTCTAAATCAAACACCTTTCATTTAGTGTATGAATATTGAATATGCATTGATAATATTGAGTTTAGATTCACTAGATTAAAAAAAAAAGACTAATGGTTAATAATCAGATATTAAAACTACTGGAGTGTTTACACGTGTAGCATCTGTGGATCTATTGTTAAACAGTTTTCTGAACAGTTGACATTTACTGCACCTTCTAATTGATGCATGTGCTCACAGATCAAGGTGTGATGGGCCCTCTTGTGGTCAAACATTGTAAACAAACATTTACTCAGTTTATTTCCTTGCAGGATAAAGAATATTCACTCCTTCCTTTATGAGCGGATGGTGAGTTTTTGGTTACTTGCCTTTTGCTACTCAACATTAACCCTACCCTTTGTAAACTAAGAAGTGCCTGCACCTCCCTACCCTGAATTGGTAAATGGCCTGTATTTATATAGCGCTTCACTAGTCCCTAAGGACCCCAAAGCGCTTTACACATCCAGTCATCCACCCATTCACACACACATTCACACACTGGTGATGGCAAGCTACATTGTAGCCACAGCCACCCTGGGGCGCACTGACAGAGGCGAGGCTGCCAGACACTGGCGCCACCGGGCCCTCTGACCACCACCAGTAGGCAACGGGTGAAGTGTCTTGCCCAAGGACACAACGACCGAGACTGTCCAAGCCGGGGCTCGAACCGGCAACCTTCCGATTACAAGGTGAACTCCCAACTCTTGAGCCACGATCGCCCCCGAATTCTCATTTAGGCCTCGTCTTGTTTCCCAGACGTGAACTGCCTCTCCATAGTATCCACAATATCCATTTCCTGTGTTCTCACAATTCCCTGTGGGACCTGGAATTTTCCATCCCACAACCCCATCTCATCCTCTTGCCCCTCCTCCATGACTGTGGTTTTTGTAACCATACCTGTGGCCACAAATGATCATAAGTCCAATAGGTTCCCCACTTGCCTGTTTCTAGTATTTTCTCAATATACTTTTCTGCCATTCCCTAACAAACTGCTTGTATCTCCAAAGGATCAAACTCAAACTGCCGAGCATCTTAAACCTGTAAATCCAGAAGCCCACACCACAATACCCGAACACTCAGACTAACCAGATGCCTGTGGTGTGTCCATCAACATACTGCTGTTACTATGTCAACAACAGTGTTGCCACCGCTCAGAAGCCTTTGACTCAAACATTTTATCATCCACACCCTTACAAGTAATGACATTATGTTCCTCGTGAGGCTGCCATGCCAGTATTTCCTGATCCTTCAGCCACACCTCTTACCAGCACAGCTCCATCAGCTCAGAGAATTTCAGCCTGTCTGCCGTGTTTCCTCTTTGCCCTTTCCTTTAGCACTGGATACACAATCATTGACTGAATTTGTTTAAAACGCTCATACTCAACTGTTTTGTCTTGTTTTTCAGTCAGTCCATCACCTATCCTTTGGCATTCCTTAATGTGTACATTTATGCAGGATTGCTTTCTTTCATCTGTACGCTGTGAACAGGTTGCTGTACATTTTACATTAACTCACTGGCAACTGGATGACAGTAAATTATTTTCAGTAACTATGTTGCTGTAGTTTAAGTTGCAGTAAAATTACTGTAAATACTTTTTACATTAACTTAATAGCATACAGCTGCCAATCTGCCAGTAACTTATTTTATTTTATTATTCAGTCCGTAAGAAAATTATTGTATTTGTTGTTTTTATTTATTTTTTAATTATAGCAACAGAAGTGTCACAAAAGTCACTCTAGTTGAGCACTGCAAACCACATCTAACTTTCCATCAAATAAAATATAAAATCACAATTAGTCACGAAGACCTGTCACTACAAGATGCTTTTTAATTGTTAAACTTACAATTAAAACAAATTACAACAAATAACAATTATACTCATACATGGCGTCTTTTAGCTTGGTCTTAATATTAATAACTAATAAACACGCCTGGCTGTCCTAATATCTGCGACAGTAACACAGTGCTCTTATCATATCAAATCAAACATTCACCTGATGATGGTATGAGATGCAGAAACAGAGATTCACTAAAGTTATTAGTATTAGCTATTAGTTTAGCAGCATCACTAAAATTAAAAACATGTTAAAAAGTTAGGCTTGACTATTGAAACCCTTTATTTCAGGCTGTTCTACAAGCTACCTGAAAAACCTTCAGTTAATCCAAAATAATGCAGAGAAAGTACTAACAAGGGATAGAAAGAGACACAATATTGACCCAATATTGGCTTCTCTTCACTGACTCCTGTTAAATCCAGAGCTGAATTTAAAATCTTTACCCTCACATTCAGGGTACATTCATAGAAACATAATCCCAACAGAAACTGCTCTCAGGCTGCAGGCCTGTTTTTAAAAGTAGAATTCAACGCAAAGCCTTCAGCTATCAGGCCCGTCTCCCTTCTAACCAGCTCTTAGTTTGAATTTGAAACACAGACACAACCTTTACTTTTAAGATTAGGTTTAAACGTTTCTTTTCGATAAACCATTTAGGATCAGATGACCCTGAACAATTACTACAATAGGTTTAGGCTGCTGTGAGACCTCTTATGACACTCTGAACACTTCTTCTCCACTCCACTCTCACCTCTCTACACCAGCCTGTGTTTATACACCACTACTGCATGACATTAAACTGTATTTCTTTTGTCTCCTGTAGTATGTTTTGGCTCTTGTCTCACTTTGTTCTCCTTTATTCTTTTCTCTTTCCCCTCACTCCCCAACTGGCTGCCGCTCCCCTGCCAGAGGTCCTGGTAAAAGAACGTTTTTCCTTCCCACTCTTGCAAAGAGGTAGCTCTTAGAGATCGTCTGATTCTTGGGGTTTTCTCCGAACAATAGAATCTGTACCTTACAATATAAAGCACCTTCAGACAGCTGTTGCTGTGAATCAGTGATTTATAAATAAAACTTAATTACCTCAGAGCCTGTCAGGGAGACAGCAACCTTAGCAGAGATACCCAGACCTCTCTCTCCCTAGCCACGTCCTCTAGCTCTTCTAGTGGGACCCCATAATATTCTCAAGCCACCTGAGTGACTTAATCCCTCCACCGTGTCTTGGATCTGCCTCTAGGTGCCCTCACAGTAGGATATACACAAGACGCCTTAATTAGGAGGTACCTGAGTGTTTTAACCACCTCATCTGTCTCCTTTGATGTGGAGATATTCCTGTAAACTTAACTTGCATGGTTTCTTTCTTAACATGAATGTTGTTTGATAATGGAATAATCTTAAATTTATCTTCTAGTTCAACTGATTGATAAACCCAAAACTGAAATTCTGCATCTATGTTGTCATTAACCAGTCACATTTAAATATATTTAGCACAAAAGTAAGGAAATATGTGTTTGGTCTTTCTTTGAGAAGAATGCTTCTTGGCAATAAAACTTATGCCACTGGAAAACCTGTTTATTTTACCTGACATGGTGACACATCTGTAAGGAAAATGCATTTGTGAGTTGTGCAGCAGACTTGAGTATGTTGGTTGCATCCATGAAAAACTGGCCGAAAACGTCTGTGCCAGAATCAAACAGCTTAATGTTTTGAGCTTCTGGTCTTTATCAGGACTGGTTGTTGGCAACATGTGCGCTTTACCTGAACATGTGGGTGAACATTATGTTCAGCGTTGAGCCCAGAGTCGGCCTAGCAATTAGATCGTAGGGTCAAAGTATGGAGAAGATGCAGAGAGAGAGAGGTAATTGATCTGCGATCAGTGGCAATCACACATTTCCAAGCTGTTTGGCACTGGGAGAGACGTTTTGACAAACTTTTCATGCAACCCACAGACTCAACTCTGCTGCTCTAACCACAAATGTATTTGCCTTACAAATTTGGCTCCATTTAAAGGGATATAAACAGTTTTTTTTTCAATGATGTAAGATTTATTCCCCCCCCAAAAAGAAGCATTGTTAGAACAGATACATAATCGACCAGGTTTCTATACTGTTTTGTGTTAAGTTTATATTCAGGGTACAAATACAGACCCTAACATTCCCAAACAAAATACTGAGTTAAATTTAAGAGAAAATATCTGCAGCCACGCCTGAAAACATTCACTTGAACAGTGCAAGGTCAGGGACGTGTGACCCAGCAGTCAACCTGCTCACCTGCGTGGATCACACGCGCGAAGGATGGGCGAGAGCTCGGCACTGCTCTGACGTCGAGCACGCTATTTGACGTCACCGTGGGAGTGTCCACCATCGGGAGAAATGAACGGTCATCAACACAATCCTCTGAGCGCTCATGTAAGTTGATACCCGCAAAACACACATGTTTTTTTTTAAATGTGAGAAGCCTCGTATGAATGAAACGTGTTTCCTCGTGCTGTCGCCCGCCGTGCAGGCACTCCAGGGCCGGTGGGTTAATTATCCGGTTGCCGCTGCCGCCTGGCGATGAGCCTGTTTGCTGCCTGTAGCTAACCATGGCTGAAGCGATGTTGGTTAGCTTTGAGAGCCTAGCCAGCCTGCTGCTAACTGACAGCTGCGAGTGGTCAGGCGGCGAATAAGCGCCTGATTTACCAGCCAGGGTGTTCAGGGTGGGCGATGTGGAGTGTATTTACATGTGTGTGCTCACGAAAAGCGAACTGATTGCTCATGTTGTAACTCGTCAGGGTTCAACTTTGGGGACAACACCCAGCCGGATTCAGTGACGATATATGTATATGTTTTTTTTAACAGTCGGGATATTCGAGGAATATAACATTTAGCTGAAACTAAAGGATTTTGTCCATCAAGCCCTGGTACAAAGAGTATTAGCTAACGCAAAGCTGCTCTGCGAGGACTAAATACGCCACCATGAAATACAAGAAGGTGTGATTAAGAAAGCCTGGTGGGAGTAGGTGACAGATGGCCACCCAATACCTCCAATGTAAACGTGTTCGAGATTTTCACACCTGTCGGGACCGTCCCCGCCTCCCCCTCTCCGGTGCTGATGCTGTCAGTTTATTTCTGCTATTATGGATTTTGATGGTTACATTTCATATGGCAGGAGAGTTTCCAGTGTTCATGACTCAGTATCTTGGTAGCCTATTTGTTGTTTGGGTATGACTGCATAAGGTTTCATTGTCATTATGCAAGCATAATGAAATTATAGCTATACATGGTGCATAAAACATAAATACACCTGTGTGTGTGTATATGTACACACAATATATATAAAGATATGTAGTTTTGAAGGATATAAGCAATGAGACTGGGCAAGAATATTGCATGTTAGCACTGAACATGACTTATTTACTTATTAACATTCAAATAATGCACATTAAAGAGTGATTTACAGATTTTGATGCACATAAATTAGATAGAAATACGTAGAAATATTTTATGAGCGGTATGAACGTGTGCAATTGAGCAAAAAAACATTGCACACCAGTGCTTTACATACTCTACATACTGTTGATTTATATGTATATATATATATATATATATATATA